TCCCTTATGAGGACAGGATGAGACAGTTGGGATTGTTTAGCCTGGAGAAGAGAAGGCTCCAGGGACACCTTATTGTGGCCTTCCAGTACTTAAAGGGGGCATACGGGAAAGTTGGGGAGGGACTCTTTGTCAGGGAGTGTAGTGATAGGATGAGGGGTAATGGTTTTAAAATGAAAGAGGGTAGACTTAGATTAAATGTAAGGAAGAAATTATTTACTGTGAGGGTGGTGAGGCACTGGCACAAGTTGCCCAGAGAAGCTGTGGGTGCCCCCTCCCTGGAAGGGTTCAAGGCCAGTTTGGACGGGGCTTTGAGCAACCTGGGCTGGGGGAAGGGGGCCCTGCCCATGACAGGGGGGGTTGGAACGAGATGATCTTTAATGTATTTTTCAGCTCAAACCATCCTATGAGTCTATGATCCTATGAAAATGCACTTCTGAATAAAAAAGAGATTCTTTTGAAGTAGTTGTTAATAACAAGAAAGAATGAATTGGGTCATTACTTGTTTTAACTTATTAATAACATGGACCTCTCAAAAGAGCCCAGAGAATTTTGCAATCTGAACCTTCCCAGAAGTCACTATAGCTGTGCTGCAAAGTTTATTTCCCTGTGTAACTTGCCAAAGAGACATGAAAATACAGTGTTTCTTCAGAATACGGACCGTCCTTCTCTTCTTTGATACACATTTGGATTGGAGCAGCAGTTAAACACAGGGGATCAGATTTTTAAAGGTGCTCAGCACCTAAAAGTTTCACTGTGGTGTTTGTGGCCAGATTTTCACAGGAGCTTAGCAATCAACGTGCACCCAGAATATGAGCTCTTTCAGAATTCTGGTTTTCATGTGTGGTTGCTGAGCTATTTTTAAAAGCCTGGCTGGCTGCACAAAACACTCTTTAGCTCTCAGTTGCTTCCCTACTTAGTATATGGTTAGTTATGTGACATATAAAACCAAATACAGTATTCATCTTCTACAAATAAATAAATATCACAAGCAATTAATTAATAATCAGACCAGTAAGAAACAACAAAAAAATAGCCAAGGGAAACAGACATAATAAATTCAGAGTTCAAAGTCTTCTAAAACATATCACAGAGGTCTCAGTTCTGCAAAATACACGAACAGATACTCAATTCTATCCCTGTTCAGTAATTCTTGTTAAGCAGATACCTTTAAGTCCCTGATTCCAATGGAATTCAAAATTAATGGGTTTGAAAGAAAAGAAAGCAAATACAGGAAGAGAGTTTAAAATAAAAGAAAAAGAAAATACGCATAAAAATTTGATACATTTAAAAATACAAGAAAAGGTACTTGAGCCACTGGCAATTGTCCAGTATACCTAAAAAAATTACACAAGCAACATACAATGAAAATACAAAAAAGCATCACAGCATTCAGTTTGGAACCTTGCTAGTTAGTGGCATAAAAAGATGAGATTCGAGCCTACAACTCCTGTGTTCCAACAATGTAGTCCACTCGATGGAGCACTGAGCTGTGAATCAAGATCGTAAGTTTTATAAAAGACTTTTGGAGATCTGCTGGTGAAAGAAGACTGCATTAGAAAGAGATTTTCAGAGTGCTCTTTCACAATAACTTCCTAACTTTTTGACTGGCTCTTTTTTAAAAAAGATTTCTATGTTGCCCCTTGCAACGAAATTATAGAAGATTCAAACTTTTAGGCATATATTGCAATATAACTGAGGATGAAAGAGAGGAACAAATTCATCCTAAAGCAAATCTGTGAGTGCATACACAAACCAAGGATATTAAGAATGATACTACATGCCAGGGCTGGAAGAGACCTCAAGAGATGATGAAATTTATCCCTTTCTCCCAAGACAGGCTTGAATGAAAGCCTGGAAGAGAATGATAGGAACTGAATTACCATCCTGGATCTGTGGTCAAGTACGAAGACTAAGAGTCTGACCTGAGAAAAGCAATTCCACAGCTCCCTTAGGGAAAGGTCCACTGATTATCCTAGATTGCCACCAGATCACAAACACCGTTTTGATTGGTAAGTTCAGGTTTATAAATTTAGCACTTCTAGATGAATCACAACACTTATGACATGGCTCTTTATGTGTGGTGAAGGCTCCCACAGCTATTCCACGTCTGAACTGCAGACAAAAACCGGATAAAAAATTACTTAAATCCCTAAGTCTTCACTTGTGTCTCAGCCTAACTTTTAAAGAACTATGGCTGTCATCTTGTGCTAATTATTATTTTTTAAGACCAATTTTGAGCAAAGCACCATTTCAATAGCTTATAACTCATCATTTGGTAATAAAAAAGGCACAGGCCAAGGCTCAGGATACATGGAGTTTCATTCCTACCTGTGCTACAGATTCCCAGTGGGATTTGGTAAACCACTTAATCACAGTGCATCTGGATTCCCATCTGTAAAACTTTGAAATTTCACAGTAAAAACTTCAGAGTATTATCTAGAATACCGGGTATATGCACAGCAGCTTTTTGCAAAATTGATCTTATACTAGGGGCCTTTATGCTCAGCTCCAACATAAATCATTACTTTTATCTTTTTTTCTAATTCCTTAAGAAAAAAGAAGAAAAACAGAAGAGTTTCCTGTTCTGCCAAAAGGAAGAGAGGGTGGGCACATGGGTAACATACAAAACATGCCAGGTTCACCACTCTTCCTGTTTGTCTCTGCAAAATTACATGACAGATGACTCTTAGCTAGTTTCAGCTTTGCTAATAATTTGAATGGCAACCACTTTCTTGCATGGTCTGGGGAAGAACACTGTCTCTCTCTGGAGTAATGCCGGAGCACTGATGCTGTTGCCCAAGTGCCAGAGGCAGGAAGTGCAACTGCTAGTCCATGAAAGAGTGAAAGTGACTATCTACAAAGAGATTTTTATATTTTACAGACTTACAAAGCATATTTAGGCTTTCAAACCCCAAGCATATATATCTAACTTCTCAAGGATTTTGGTGTGAGTCTAGCAGCCTTAATACCTTTACACATCTTTCCAGAACTACAAGCAAACACACAAAGTGAAAAAAAAAAATGTAGGGATCACTTTTATCTCTTCTTTCTTTTGCTTTTCTCTGCATCAAGATAGCAATATCGATGTCTGACAATCATAGAGAATTAATGTGAACAAATTAATGGAATTTTTCAGGTGAAATTGAGCTTTTTACTGCTTTGTGATGTCAGAGTCTTTTAAGTCTCAGAGATCTTGGTCTCCTGGTTGACAGAAATCAATGAAATCCATAGCCTTACTCACTAAAAAATAGGAAAATGACATGGAGAATGAAGAATACCAGAGAAGGTAATGCAGAATCTGTTGCTCTAATTTACAAATCCACCATGATACCATATGTTGCAAATAGTTCCAGACAAGAAGCCTGTTTGCAGCGCAGTGTACATGTCAGATTCTATTCTTTAAAACTCTACAGCAATAGCAGTATGACATGGCAGAACTAAGGGTTAATAGATCTGCTAACATCCCTACAGGCTCAGAAATCTCTGTTCAGCACTATGTTGTATGCAGTCACTATCCTCTTTTGTTTTAGCAGTTTTAGTTCTTATCATTAATTTGTTACTTTTATCCTTTTACTTTCTCAAAAGTTTGTGAATAAATGCTTAATATTAACTCAAGCTACTGAAGACAACTTTAGAAAAGTCTTAAACTGAAAACCTTTGAATTTCAAAGTTGGTGATCTAGCTAAAAATAAGGTGTTCCTAATGGCATTGAGGGAGCTTTTGCAAACTCAAAGGCCATCTAGTGACTAAAGTTAAAAATCACACATTTTTAACATGGCAATATTCAATTCATACTACGCATCAAACAGTGACACATGCACTTCTACCAAACAGACATTTTCATTAATACTAAAGAACAGGAAGTGTCTGAAGTATGAAAGTATGGCATAGTTTGGAAATAAACATAGTTTCTTTGGAAGGACTTTATTCAGAATGGCATCAGCAGAAATTCCTGATGCATGTTAAATTCAAAACTTTCTCTTCCGTGTCCTCCCCACTTGAGCTTCAAATGTAACATAAATCTATTTTCTGCTGCTGAGAATTTACAGGAATGCCTGTGCCAGGTAGTCTCAGCATCATTAGGAGTAACAAGCCAGGTGTTTCAGGGTATGATCTAGCAGATGTGCTCAGACTAGCTTTGCATGCAACCTTTCTCAATTGAGAAAAACGGAAAGGTGCCTGCTGAGTTCTTAAAAATTGGTTGTGCAATTAGTCTAGCAAGGTTAACAGCAGGAGGGAGGGTATACTCTGATTTCAATCCTGGCCTAGGTGAGAGCCTGCTAATCATGAAAAGTTTGTTATACCAAGACAGTGTATTGTACTGGTGTTACCCCAGGCAGCTTTTACTTCCCAGGATGGGCACACTAAGGGTAGCTTTTGGTCTGACAGTCAATTATTGTCAGTCCCTGATGACCATTCTGTATTAGATGAATGTCAGGGTCAGAAAAAAACCCTAATCAACACTTCTGGTTGAAAAGAGTGATGCATGGTGTTAAAAGTGTAATTTCACTGAAACTGTAACACCAGTGTGACACAATAAAGAATCAGGCCTTAATATCCTATGACAAATTCATACTTACTCAAAACAGGTTGCATTTAAGCTTACCATGACACAAGTAGATGGATAAAATCTGTTATACCATCATTTCAGCAGACATCTCTACTAATTTTGAATCAGCTTCTTTGACTAATTCTGTGTATCTAGGCTGAATGATCCCTTAGATTTATACAGACCTACACTGACCACTGTAGGCAGTTATCACTGTAGGCCATTTACTACTGACTCAGTTATTAAAAAGGATTTAATTGAAACTTTGAATCTGAAGGTCTACTGTGCTTATTGTGTTAACATATCGCATTCGTTATTAAAAAGAATAAGGAGTGTTCCTCCCAGTTTTTTAAAAGTCTTTTGGCCCAAGACCAGATCTTTAACTGTTTTTTCCCCATGTAACAAGAACTCAAGAGGCAGTATCAAAATCATGCTAATAAGAGAAACATACTGTGAAGTGCTTGTGTAGCAAGGCTTTGAAGTTTACATGTTTAAGTAGGATTAAGTCTATGTTAGCATTGTCAACGTCTTAAAAATTTACTTCAGCAACACAGCCACTTTTTGTATAGAAAGGAAATCAAAGATATGTACATTATTCATAAGACAGATGGTGGAGGCAGCTGAACCATATATCACATGCTCCAAAATTCTAGTTATTTATTAAAATGGTCTACGAGAAAAAACATGGATATGTACTGCCCTGTGTGCTTGGCATGTCCCAAGATGAAAACAATCATCTACTGAACTTTCAGCACATAAAAAATGACAGCTCTAGCACATATGTGCAAAGAGGAGGCTTGGGAAGAATGGAAGTAAAATAGAAATGTGTCATCTCTTGCCCTTTTGGCTATGCCCATGACCAGACTGGGATATTCTTCCAAATAGGACATAATGGATCCTGATTTCTAGTTTACAGGTAAAAGGCTGGAGTCACCCACAAGCAGAGGATATTCAGCACACACTCTCCCTTGGCACCAGAAAACACCTTAAGATTAGATAATATAGTCCATCTACAACTCTTATTTCATAAAATGAGAGATGGATTGCTTGGGCTTAATCAAAAATGTCAAAAATAGAAACAACTCAGGGACACTGTATTTATGTATATAAAGGGATATGACAGATTTGAGAGCTTCAGCATACACTGTTAAAGACAAAATAGATCAATCACCTTTTTTTTTTACCACACAGAATATTCTGATAGAATATTTATGAGGTCCCAAAAGAGAGGTGGTGACAAGTCAAAGTTTTGCTCTTGGAATGATGCAATGCTCATTTGAATTTGGTGAAAGACTGTAGTAGATGATTAGGTTGGCATATATGAAAAATGACCCAGTTCAGCAGGCAGAATCCTGTCTTTTAATCTTCATCCTCAGATACTGGGACTTCAGTCAATTTCCTAGGATAGAATAAGCAAGTTTTCTTTAAAAATTAATCACTTCTCTTCTTGTAACATTTCTCTCACTCAATTCTTGAGAACATGGGAAAATGTAACATGTCTCAATTTCTCTCTTGGTCTGTCCCTGCAAGCTGCTCTCACTGTCCACATCTATATTCCTTTGAAAGAGCAACATTCAAGAAACCATCATGATAGCATTTTCCATCTCCCTCCATCCTGCAGAAGTACCTGTCTCTCCCACTGCGTGTCTGACTGCCCAGTAGCACACCTGTCCATTGAGTTTGCCTGAGAAAACCTGCTGGATCATGGACTGGAAAGGAGGCAAGTTCTAGCTTTGCTATCTTGTTTTGACCAACCTTTCCTTCCTCATTTCTACTCAGTTCTCATCTGAGCCCTTCTGAACCTTATGTCACCCTTTACTTGGCTTATCTAAAATGCTTCACTGAGATAGAATAGATGAAATACAGAGTGAAGAAAAGACACTGATGCGCAAGTGATTGTTTTGGATTCTACAGAGAGCAGATAAAATCTTAAGTTTGGACATGTGTATGATTACTGTGGTGCTTTCATACATGTCATGTCTTAAAACATCAGACATATGAAGTCATGACAATCATTCACTTTACAGATCTCTTCTGCTTTTTATATTTAACTCTCTCACAGGGTAAGCATGTTAGAGTACACTTTTCAAATTGTTATTGATTAAATATTTTAACTTCTCTAGTTATAGAATGTTGCTGAATTTAGTATTCTGAAATAATTAATTGTAGGCAGACGTCACAAAGGATGTGTTCAGATGACCCTGATATTCACAAAAAAATGAAATTTACATATCAACATATTTCTGTAGAGAGGTAAAAGATGTTGTTTGAAATCTGCCCCAGAAGCCTCCAACAACCTAATCCCATAATTAGATGCTTCTTGTAAGGCAACATTACCTAACTATTTCGGCTTAATAGATTTTCATACGGCAGTCAGAACCAACTGCAGGATTGAATTTTAGTTTAGTAAAAATAATAATTATTACAGTAAATAATCACAAGTGTATTAACTTAACATGAGATTTGTTATGGTACAATATCATTCCAATAAACCAATTTTTCATCAGTGTCCTTATCCTCTCTTTTGGTACTGTGCATGCATATTTCCTCTATCAATGTACAGGGGAGGGAGAGGGAAAAATTATGAAATAATTTGAGGCAATTACTGGAGTGTGCTGATGACCTTACATGTTCACTTGGGACTGTTTTTATTTGAAAGCATTGCTGTGGGTTTATGTGTATGACCTACACAAATTTTAAGCTACATTTCATTAGCAAAACACAAAGCTAGTTGGCAAGAAATTGTTCACTGACTTGGCTTATTTCAGGTTCAGTATTGTATCTCCTTTTTGTGAAATACTGGAAAGCAGGATCATCCAACACTTCCACTGTTGATTCTGGAGGCTGGATTTTGGAAGGTAACATATTTTCTCAAGGAACTTCTTTATAAGCTCTGGATCGACAACAAAAAAGAAGAGAAAAAAGTTCCTGTATAATGATTAGTGAATGACATCAGTAGATAGATAATAAAGAATTACGTGACAAAGAAGGATGTAGTAAATAACAAAGGTGTATAGTTTAAAGGGAAATGAAAAGCCTGGAATTATATGTTGATTGTTGGAGAACAAGTAGTTATGGTACAGTTTCACAGGCTTATCTTCTTTAAAACTGTCTCAGTCACTAATTGGAAGAGGTAACTTATCTTCCAATAAGCTTACAGTGATGATGGGATTTATTTTGTCTAAATTCAAATAATCAGTTAAGTGAGACAAGACGTAAATAGAGATTACGCATCAGTCATATCATGCCTGTGACAGGCATTGAAGACAGATGTACAGAATGCCTTTTTGGAAACTCTTTTCACTGCCTATAGAGGAAGTGGAGATGAAAGGCACAGACCGGATGCAAGCTTTCATATAGCTAAAGTTCATGAGATGAGTCCTATGCTAAATGCTGTTAAAAAAACAGGAGTTCTGAGTGATAGAAAAATTGTTTGTAGTCTGGCCTGTCCTGCTACCTAAAGGTGCATAGTAGCAAAAAGAAGATGAAAAAATTAAGAAAAGCACAAGCAAGAACTATTTTTAAAAGAAACAGTGTCTCACTTTTAGTATTTTACTTGCAGAAATAATCCCTTGCTTTTTCTTCTATACACCTTGCAGAAGAATCACTTGATTCCTAAGAGAAATAGACTACCTGGCAGAAAGCAATGCTATCGATATATATGATACCATGATTGCTTGTTTAAAGAGTGAAGTGTATGTATCTGAATTTTCCTAATTACTATCTTCTTTTGCATCAGAATGTGAAGCATGCAATTTCACATAGTTCACCAGCCAGCACTGGAGATCAAGAATGGATCTATTTTTCAAGAGTTTTACTTAGGAAAGAAAACATAATATAGTGAATGCAAGTTTAAAAAATAATAGAATGTCCTTGCCTCTCTACTCCTCAGGAATGTAGCTTTACATTTGTTATATTATTTATAATATGACAAAGCAAACACACTTTGCAGTCCCTCACATATGCCTGACATATTTGTATGATGCTCACTGCTACAAAAGGTGTCCAACTTAAAGAACTATTTAAGTATGTGCAACACTTTAAGGACTTTGAATAGTCCCATCAGTGTGGAAGGATGAAGGATACCATCACATTTTCTGTATGGGAAAGACTTAATTAGACTTGTGCTACAGAATCATTGATTTTTTAAATTTACTTATTTGGGTGACTTGCACCAAATAAGGCAGTACCTAAGTACTAAATATATGAGTATTCATACTGCATATGAGGTTTGGTATCTTTTGTAGATTCTGATATTTTTCCTCAAGCTCCATCTCCAGTTACACATATCAGTATCACATTACAGTCTAAATGTGTTCATCAGAGTAACAGTACAAAAAATTAGAATTATTGAAGCAATAGACACCATTAAAATCTGGTCATACTAACATACAGTTACCAGAAATACAGCACTTATTTCAATATAATTAAAGAAATTAAAAAGTCACTACACTACTGTAATCACTGCCAAAGTATGCTGAATGGAAAGCAGACTAGAAACAAAATGATTTAAATACGTTTTCTGTCATTACAAGAAGAGTACCAGACACTTGTCTTGGGATCAGGACCCATACAAAATGCCAAAATATGGTTTTGCTCAGGTAGAGCAGAAGCAACTTTCACTGCAGTTCTCCAACCTCAAAGAAAGAGCTTTCTATTGTGTTAATCAATTTGTAGCAATCCTGATTGTTTTAAACTGGATGAAAACAATTTATGGCTTCCCATTGAAATTGATGCACCAGTGTTCAGCTACCTGTTACCACTCTGAATTACAAACTTCCACAAAAATACATTAAATTACATGGAAGATGAAAGTAAGTGATAAACAATATCACAACATACCTTGGTGTGGTTTGGCCTACTTCACATTTTGTCACATACAGCACTAACTGTACAAAGGAAAGTATCCAAATTATCAAATAGAATAATAAAAGCTTGCTAATGCAACCCAAACTAGTAACTACATATTGCATTTCTACAGTTACATAATTTTTGCCAAATCTGAAAGCAATAAATAATCTATTCCATAAGAAATAGGTGGCTGATTTTAAAGATATTTCTCTCTCATTCTCCCAACTTCACATTCCAATAATTTGAGCTCTCTCTGACCAGGTCCTGTAAATCATGCTTACCCACCAAGAGGTTATATCCTGCAGTTACTGTAGAGTCACATATGTGCTGACTGGTGAGCTAGTACACACATGTTGGTAACCAAGTGAGCTGCTGCCAAATAGAAAGATGTTATAATGCCCAAGTTTCAGCTCCCTTGAGAGGAACACTCATTTATGTCTTTCCTCTCCCCAGACTTCAATCTTCAAAAATCTTTCAGGAATGAGACTATCCTTGAGATGTTTATATATCCATCAAATTTGGCAGAAATTGGCCAATGGGCTTAAAAGTTATTAGGAGAACCAACAGATAAATAAACAAGACGAATGGAAACAATCTGTCTCTTTAGAGAATCAGGATAAAACCCACAAAATAATCCCGTAAGTAAGGTAATGGATATGTACGAGAATATCATTCAAACTGCTGTGCCATTAACTAGCATAATGTTTTTGGTGACTTTGGGAAAGATGTATTTCTAAATATACTTTGTTATACTGTAGTAAAAGGGGTAGGCAGCCATATAGCCCCCCCACTATTCTCTCTATGAACACTGGAAAACATTATTTAGTATTAAGAATATACTATTTAAGTAGTTTTCAATCTGCCTTTTACTTCCAGACCCCTAAAGACCTCCAATGCATATAAAGACCTTTATGTAACAAATTTAAGCTAACTCATAATAGAGTTACTTTTCCTAGTTATTTGTAGAAATTTTAGGTATACTTTGGAGAAAACAGTTTGAAGACTAGAAACTGAAAACCACTGTGCAAAATGCAAAATTAGTTCTTGCAGAACTAATCACTCTGACAAAGTGTAAAAGACAATCACAGCTTTCAGTAAAAAACCCCAAATTTAGTATCCTGATGCTATATGCAGATACTGAAATAATATGATCTGTTTTTTAAAAGAGCTTTTTGCACAGTGTGTTATTACTTTAAGTTGCTGCTTTTGAAAATCTTGACAGAATTTGTGAATCTTCACACTGTGAAGAGTTTTCAAATGGAATCACTCTCCAGTTAAAACAATTATTTTGGAAAGTGTCTCTTAGACAGGTAACATGCTTGCAGTAAACATGGTCGCTGCATCATCATTGCCGCAGCTTTGTGTAAACTTTAAATACTATCTGCAGATACACGACTTGTACTCACAGGAATGTTTCCATTAAATTTTATGTCTGAAATATTGTAATTACTTAATAGGTATGCATGTCCTAGTGCCCTCTACAATAAAAATGTAGATGGCTCAAATATATCCATTCACATGTTTTAGTAATTCCATAAAAATAGTCTTCCTCTGGTCCATTGATTAAAGAGTTACAGGTTGCAACTGTTATTCCTTGTGTTGTGTTTGTAAAACACTCCTGCCAGCTACAATGTCCTTAGGAGGACATGTATATCATTTTACATTTGCTTTGATAGTTGTATATATGAATTTCTAGGGACCTCTGCTCCTACACTACACACCGTAACTTGCCTTCTAGACACTATTGTCCTACCGCTGGCAAGATCAATCTTCTAACATTTTTTTTTTTTTTGGGGTCAACTTTCTGAAGGTTTCATTGCCTCTACTGATTTGCTCCATCTACAGGATTGAAAATGCCATGATCTGTTCTTGTCCAAGTTGGGAACTCAGTGTCCTGGCTTTGTCAGTTTTAACTAATGACAAGTTTAATGATACTGTCAGTTTCAGTTTATTATTTAAACCAGTCTCCTAATCTGACAAAGCCGGATTCAGTGACAAATAATGAATTTAGGGAATTTCTGGTTTGGATTCTGAGTCAGAAACTGAAGATGTACTCATTCGTATTTCTAAGCTGTTTCTCAGAAACCATGAAAGCCAGAGCACCTTTTTGTTTTGTTTTTCAAGGAAAAGGTGAGATTCTTATGTCACCGCATAAAGAAAAATGCAGAGAGGTTTCACAAAACCAGCAGTCTCACAAGCTTCACTGCACCTCACTGTCGTTCAAAAACTGTGCACTGTTTTTGACCTCTTATATGTTAAAATCAGAAGGAATATTGACTTCAGTGGACCCAGCAGGAGATAATAATGCCAAATCAAAAGTTTACAGGTAACTCTTCCAGATTCTTTTGCTTAGTTCTTTGGTTATTTATTCTACTTCTCTTTATATATAGAAAATAAATATAACCCATTAATATTACTTCTCTCTCTTTTACTCTTTTGAAAGAAAAGGCTACAAATCATCCCCTGAAAACTAATTATAAGTAAGCATAAATGCTTATATTAGAAGCTAATATAATTTTAGTTACGTGTTTTAATCATGCATTTGATTAATTATTTAATATTTTATATTAGAAAGTCATGCATGACAAAAGAAGTAATAGAGAAAGAAAAAGGTTGTTGAATAAACAAAGCATCACTCTGCTTTTGGGCAAGTGAAAAACAAATGCACAGCGAAATACTTGTAGAGAAGATAAATAATCAAATCCTTAGTGAAATCACAGTTGTTTTATTCCATGGCACTCAGCCCTCAAGAGATTATTCTGACTTTTTATGCATTATTTCCAGATGACCTGCTAGCTTATTAGGCAACATGCTATTACACAATTCATTGTGTTATGGGTAATTATTTAATAGCACAGATATTCTTGAGCCTACTGTAGGCCATTTTTCATTCTTAGTTGATTTTGTGTATATGCTACAATAGCTATGAGCTATGCATGTTATTTATGAGTGTCCTTGAATTGTTAATTTGATGTTTTTCAAGTTACACTTTTTTTTTTTTTTCTCTTGGCTTTACATATTGTCTCCTCTGACTAACCTTTCTTCTCTTTCTGCAGGCAGGTAAAAGGTTTTATCTCAGTAAGTACCTATGTTACAAACTGGGACTGCACCAGCATTGCCTACAGTCATTTTCTATCATTATTCAAACAGCAGGAGAGGCTGGTATCCTACCTTGATATGTCTCATACCCAATGTGCTGCTTAACCCTGGATTACCCCTGGATAATTACTTCTCCAGAGTAATGATTACTCTGGAGAAAATGCTTCTTGCTTCAGGAGGGGAAGCACTAGGAAGAGAACTCTTCCTATACAAAGGCCATTGGGAAATTAGTATAATGCAACTACAATTATTTTAACAAGTTCTGCATAAAATTCTTCAACAGAGCCTCTGAAAGTAACAATGGAATAAAGATAATATCTTCACATGGATAAATAATTGATTAGAAGGTCAGAGAAGGAGGGAACAGGTAAATGATAAATTTTCCAGGTGAATGGATATCACTGGTAGAGAGACCTGGAGGTAACCCATTTGGGTTTAGGACTTTGTTACTTAACATATTCAAAAGTTACCTGGAAATAGAGGGTTGAAAGTCAAGTAATGGGTTCAAAAAGCAAATGGATATATTCATGAAGGCAAATCTACAAATCCATGACTACTAATTACAAAATTAACATCACCTGGTCATGAAACCCTGGTCAACAAATCATTGCATGATAGTAAAATATGCAGAGGAAGTATGGTGACATTCTTTGTTAACTATCCACAGTCTTCGATGGAATACTGGACTACTTGGACTTTTGGACAAAATCAAATATGGCCACTCTAGTAGTAGCATGAGTTAACTGCTTATTTCTTATAGAAAAGGGTTACTATCAAGTCTATAGGTAAACTCAATAGTATTTCCCATTTCCCAGTTTTTGAAGTAAACTGTGTCTACAGATGTGTCAGCTTCTAGTAGGGGCAAGAAGTCATCTTTGCTCCTTATCACACTTATCAAATACCCTTGTTCCTTCTGCAATCCCCATGCTCATCTCTGTGTTAAGCCACACAAAATACAGTAATAATTACAAGCTGGATATGAAGGCTTTTTCATCAGGTTTCCAGGTACAAATATACCTGCACAGTCAAATTCTGAGGTCCTCCTAAACACTGAAAGAAACTTGAGACCACAGAGAAAAGCTTACAAAATTCTGTTGTCATGTGAGTGAGAGAAGGGAACTCTATAGACTCTATCAACTTCCTAAAGACCTCATCTGCTAGCACTGAGTACCTTCCCTATATCAAGCAAGGATACATGATGAATAGCTCTTCAGCTGTCTCCCTTCTCTGTCAGGCTCTGATTCTCCAGTCTTACAACAACCCTCTTCGTCAGCTTCTCACCTTTGCTGTCACAGAACCTCTCAACACAGAAGTTCAATAAACTTGCTTTGCTCAGTAGATGCAGAAGATTGCTGGGGAAGTTCAAAATAATACTGTTGACTGCCAAAGGCACAGCACTGTATCTTCTTACAACAGTGAACCTCCTGTCTACTGCAGATGTTTTATATAACTCAGCTTATCCATCTCAAAGGCTGCTTCTGTCTCTGCCTTTTTTTTTTTTTTTTTTCTTTCCCATTCATACCTGACACAGTGGAGAAAGTGACTGTAGAATTTGCTTGTAAAATGTCTGACTGATCTCTTTCAGCACAACTTCCCCAAACAACTTAGAACTTAGCTGTGGAATGTCTTGGGACTGATATCTAGAAAGTTTAGCAACTTTCATTACATCATGTGCCTGGGGGTTGGTAGTTGGTATATGATTCAGTTGGTTCTGAATCATATAGCTGAAATCTGGAATTTGTTTATGCAGTTTCATTAAAAATAGTAGATTAAAACTCAACTACTTTTGATATCTATATTTACACATTTGTAGTTAATACCTCAGTATCACAGGAAAACTTGTGAATGAAGACTAGGTTTGGAAAGAACATTTACACAGCCTTCCTTAAGAAATTCATGCTGGACTATATCTGTTCCAAGGTTTGTCCCTGAGTTAAACTTGACTTTTTCTGACAGATTCAGTGGAGTCAGTATTTCACTCTAATAGTGAACTTTACCCAATGAAAAAGCACCAAAAAGCCACCAAGACAGTTTCTATCTGCTTTCTGGAGATACTGTCCATTTCAGACCACTTTTTTGGACTTGATGACATTGTTTCAGATTTTGTGTTTATTTCAGGTGTCTCTATCTGCCAGAGTATCTGTATCTCTGCCTTTGTCTGCTTTTCTCAGCACTGGAAAAATTAATGGTCAGAATTGTATGTTCAAATCCTCTTTCCCCTTCACTTTTCCAGAGGTTTTCAGAAAAAAAAGCTGATCAGTTCTGACTGATGTCTGAGATCTAATTTCATATGTAAATGCAGAACACAGTAACTGAGAAATAAGAGTGAGAGTTATATGAAAAATGTTATCAGAAAAAAAAAAAAGGAAAATTATGTAGTCCATTTTTTTATCCCTTGTGGTTTCTTGGGTTCTTTAGGGTTGTTATATGACTGCAGTAAGCTTAAAGTGATTAAAAATGCAAAGTTCAAAGCCAGAAACAAGGAACCAAAAACACTGCCTGAAATTATAGGATGTAGAGACTTTATGGTGACAGTAACATGGATAAAGTACAGCTAATTGTGAAGTGAGAATATGATCTCTGTATATTAAAATGGAACAAGGAGTTTATTTACATTTCTTTACCATGTTCTAAAAAATGCCTCCCTTCATCTACACGCATGTTGCCTGAGTACCCATAAAATTTTGTTCTAGCTGTAATGAAGATTTATCTATGAAAATTGTTGGAATTAGCTTAATCTTTATAAAAATTCAACCATATTGCTTATTGCTAAATATATCTGCCTTTAGAAGTCCTGGGCAGATATTTCTGCTTTCCAGAGTTTTCATTACAAAATTCTGAATAGTAACCAGTAACCCAATTTTGCTTCATGTTAAAAAGAATGAATTTCCATTTTGAAGCTGTAATCAATACAAAATGATCAGACCCAACTTTATGTGGTTGATATAAAATAAGACGGTAATATATACTTTGATCAACACGTGATGGTAGTCTTAAAGAACTGCTGTTCTCCTATCAACTAGACACTGCAATAGGTCTTTAAATGCACTGCACTGCAGCTTGTCTGGAAATACTAAAAGACAGAGAAATATCCAGGGGATTTCCTGACTCTGGAGTGATTTTTTATTTTGGTTTACATTAAAAGAAGTTCTCATTAGAACTTTTGTATATAACTTCACAATTTATATAAACAGATTTTTTAAAAACATTATTTACCTTCAAAGAATTTTTTTTTTTTTCATTAGAAGGCTCATTAGAATTTTCTGACTGGTATGTCTTTGCTAGAGCAGGGACAATGACTCATACAAATGTTCTACTGCAGTTGTTATATTCAGTTCAAATATCCAAGGCAAATGTATTTTATAAGCTTGTTCTTTCATCTTGGGGGGGATAGAGTTCTGAAACTAATTTTATTTGTTAAGTATCACCAATTTCTTTGGTGATTAAGAATAAAAATAGTAGTTTGCTTTACCTCTGAATTGTGTCCTGACAGGAGCAGCTTACACAGCCCCAGAGTTCCACCTTGTGTCCTGGTTGGTTTTCTCCAGGAGGATCATCTGCCTCCTGTGGGCAGGCTGGCCTCTCTTTCCTGTGATATGGACCTGCTGGTGAGGTTTCACATCACTGTAGTCTACTGGGGATTCCATAGTTCTTCCAACATTGGGCTGCAGGTCAGCATCTGCTCCTGGACTCACAAAACCTGAGCAGGGATCTACTAAAGGCACAACATCCCAGTGTGGGAATAAAGGGTAATTTGGCCCTACTGGAGAGGTGAATGGATTTAATTTAAGGAAATAATTACTGGTTTTCTCTTCAAAGCTGGCAAAGACATGTCTGTTCTCAGGACCTCTCACAACAGGCATGCACATCTTTTTTAACAGACTTTGATACTGTTGGTGATCCATCTTGTGAACTGGTTCAACTGGCAAGGCAGAAATTTCAAAAGCACTTGCCTGCTTTTCAGCTCCATGGGAAACCACAGTCATTCTCTTCTGTCATCCTTATGTGGCAGTAAACTTAAAAGACTCCACTTGCTCCCTTTTCTCCAAGTTTCCGAAGTCCTAGCCAACAAACCACAGTAAAACTAGAGGTCATCCTCCAGAAGATCAGTGCATAGAAACCATGAAGAGCAAGGCTGTGGTTTAAGTAGTGAATTCTTTCCTGAAAAGAGATTTATCAAGTATGGTACAAAAAGAACAGAGCGATTGAATGAGGTTTTTTGTTGCGTGGTAATGATGGAAACCACCTCACAATGAAAAGTCTCCTGGTCTGAAATGTGGTTCATGCGTAACACAGTAATCCAGCCCTTCAGGGGGGATACACATAGTAACTTGAAATGGCACTACAAAGTATTTATTCATCTAGTAGAGACAAAATTGAAAAGTTTTCAGTCTTATTAAGAATTATATGGTGTTTTCATTTAAGTGTTTTAAAATAAGATATTCTGTTGGTATCTAGATCACAAATATGAATTAATTTGAAACACAGATTTAATGCAAACAACATATATCAAACACAACCACAGATAAATGCAAATTCAGAAAACTTATAATTACTTCTTGGAATATGTAAATCACATTGACATCAGTTTTCCATGCAGCTGAATTACCTCCAGAATTTTGCCATTTCTTCTACCAGGCTGGCAAATCCATTAATGTTTCAGCTCAGAATATGCAGCACTCATTTCCTAATCCCAAACTCAGTGGTATTCATTTAGCAATTTAAACAAAAGCAGTCTGATTTACAGAGGTCCTGTCTGCATGAATTCAGTTTCCTCTGCAACGATCCGGTAGTTTGGAAAAATTAAACTACATTTATTTGGACAGCTCAATTCACACTATGGGGGCTTTTATTTTGTGGCTTTGTCAGGAAAAATTAGGGCACAGCATCCAATCATTCTTTCATTTATGTTAGTCTCACACAGATGTATCTTCCCTGAATTCCTAACTTGTTCTTGAAATGAGAAATGGGCCTAATGTGTTCCATAATGCAGAATCATGTTGGGGTTTTCTTGGAGCATTTTGCTGATGAAGCAGAAAAATAGATAATTAACTAACTAACTAAATCTTCCCTCTTTATTAAGCCAAAGTCACAAGAACTAAAATAGGTAAAAAGTGACAGCTAAGAACTTTGTATTTGCAGAACCAGCATTCTAAGGCTAAGCCAACACTATGAAAACACAGAATTCTTTGTCTGACACATCTTGTGTCCACTTTCTATCAAGCTTATACATTCAAGTTAGTGAAAAGATACTTCAAAAGTTTTACTTCCACCAGTAACAAGCCTTTAAAATTCCATACTGGTGTCTATATTTAGTGACACTCAGCAACCTCCATACTAAATATAAACAGTTTTACACTAAAAATAACATCTAGTGTTGCAGACTGACCCTTTCCCCCTCTGCTTACCTTCTCCTGGAAAGCTTTAGAAAGAGATGGCAGGAGATGCAAAGACATGGGATCCAGGTAAGGCATAGGATGGAAGACATTACAAGGATTGCTCATGTTTTGTTGAATTCATTTAGCAGAGTGAAATGCAATTAAAGCTTTATCTTGGATTTTGTTGACAGGGATTCCATCCAGATTATCCTGGGAAGTAAATTTGCCAAGTAAGGTTAAATTATTTCTTCTGTCAATTTTCAGAAGTGACCCGTGTTTTAAAGAAGCACATGGATGAGCTCTGGTCATATATCTAAACTACTCCTCTATACTAGATGTCTGCCTTTTACTTTGTTTCAGGATTCCTGTGGAACAGTCTTTTTGGTTTTTTTTTTGATATAAACAGCTATTTTTTCTTCTCTGGCACTGTAACAAGATACCAAATCTTCCAATGCAGTGAAATCTTCCTGCCAGACTTCATTTGCTTCCAGATAACTCATCCCCGCTCCCCTTCTTTCAAAAAGCCCTTTCTCTACCCTACTGCAAATGAAATACTCTTATGCCACAGTAACATGCAAACGTCCTGGGATTCCAGACACTTTCTTAATTGCCTTTCTGTAGCAGCGCAATAAAGACTTAACAGCACTGCTTGTAAATGCTCATGGCAGTGTCTAGATCAGCAGTTCTTGGGCTTTGCAATAGAAACTTCCTTCCTCCTTTTTTTTTTTTTCAGGAACAGCAGCGCTGAGCATGAAGCACCTTCAGCCACCCGCAGGCGCAGCCTGCACCACCGCAGGCCCGGCTGCTCCAAAGGCGATGCCCCTGGCGCGCAGGTGCGGGCCTGCTGGTGCGCGAATGGATTGGGATTCATTGTGTATCACCCGGCGGCGGTGGGACAATTCGGGATGGAGCTGCTGCAGCAGCAGATGTTTACCTGGGGTTTGAGGATGTGAAAGCCTTCCCCCCCCCACCCAGGGCTGGGAAAGTCCCGCCGCTGACTTCCCCAGGCGGGTCACGGCAGAGAAGGCCAGAGGCGAAGCGTCGGCCTCAGGGGCTCGCCCTCAGCGGGCCTTGCCTCAGCGTGCCCTGTGGCCGTTGGAGGCGGCTAATGGCTGCCACGCGGTCAGGAGAGGGCAACGGCTGCTGCCTCCTCTTCTTCCTCCTCTTCCTCCTCTTCCTCCTCTGGGGTGCAAGGCTGCAATGCCCACGGCCTCGGGCAGGTGCGGGTCGGCGGGGTCGAGCCACCGGCTGCCCCTTCCCCGCAGCTCTCCTTCCCCTTGGGCAGGCAGCTTGGGGAAGGCGGTGGTGGCAGCTCTGAAACCTCACCATCTCCCAGCCCTGCCCTGCCTGGAGCATCGAGTGTGAATTTTGCAGGGTTTTCTGGGTTCGCTCCCTGCATGTGCCTTTGTCCTTGTCCTCACACGTTTACTTGCACTGTCCTACAAAAGCAGGTACGTGTGTCGCTACATGCATGATGCTCTTTGAAGCCTGGTAGTTTTAAGTGCGTGTTGCTGACTGGGGCGTGCTGTTCAGTAAGATGGGAGCTGTGCCCTTTTAACATCCAGCTTTTCCCTGTGTGTTTTGTTTTACACCTGCCAGTGCTTTTCCCACGTGCACCCACCATGTCCACCAGTGGGATTAAACTTCTGGAGGTGGAGACGCATGCAGGAAAACTAAAGGATTATTGGAGATGCATGCAGGAAAACTAAAGGATTTTCTGAGTTATCTTTTTTTCCTCAACAATGAACAGTGAGTGCTGGGCAGAGGGGTGTCTCTCCTTCATGAGTACCCAAGAAGCTGCATGCCTGAGGGGGTGTAACACCGTGGGCGAGTAGCTGGTAACGTTGGTACTCGGCTGAAAGAGCTGCATCCCTTTGTTGAAGGTTCTGAGGTACAGAAATAGTTACGTGGTCGGATACCAAGACGTCACATTTCTGCTGTACTGGTGCTGATCTTGTATCCACTGTGTGCATAATTGCAGCTGCCACTGACTGGGAATTTCAGCTGTACAGCCTCTCAACTCTTAAGACTGGAGATGGCTGAAATGACTGTCTTTGCTTCCTAGTGGGGCTTTGAAACTTGAACGTAGTAAATCACTTAGGCTTTCTGATAGTATTAAATTAGATTAATTTGTACACTGGTGTGCATAGGTGCTGGACCTTTTTATTCCATGATCTGGTTATGACTGAGTTTCACCAATTGCTTGAGAAAGTCAAGGTCTTTTCCAGAAGCAAGATCAGAAGTGACGTTCAAAATTCTTCCACTTTGACAAAACAAAAGGCAAAGCTATGTGCAGCATTTCAGCATATATTCACTGAAACATCATAGTATTTCTTCTGTCTTTGGCTTTAGTAAGCATAATAGATGCTGTCAATTCCAAAAGAGACACTTCAATTTTACTGCACTGGGGTGTTATTAATATAGTCTAAGTTCAGACTGATGCAAAGAATATGAAACTTTTTAAGGATTCTTCATTTTGTTGTCTGTTTACTGATGCTAACAGTTTTGGCTTATGTGTTTTTCTTTAAGTGAATAATTAAACTTTTGAGGACAATATGGAGCATGTTTCTTAAGACGTCTTAATTATATTTGACTTTTCTGACCCACCTGAAGGAAGTTTCCATCTTACTGAAAAGATACAACAGTTTTTAACTTTAGCTTTTTAAACTATATGGTAAGGCAAAAAGGTCTCCTTTTTAACTTACAAGATGGGTTAGTAATGTCCTTGTCAGAAAGGAGGTAGGAAGGCTTACTTGAAAAACAATATAGTTCATATCTTTCAGGCTTTTTGTCAAAAGGGTTAAACTTAACTGAGTGACATATGACTTGCATATGACTAGTAATAGAAATGGTAATATTTCTGCACAGCACTTACCATCAATAGGCAGTTTAGAAATGCCAGCTGTAATTAAAATGCTTGGATATAGAAAAACACTTGACTATTAACATGATTGAGCAAAAATAACTTAAGTAACGTTGCTATTTATATACTCTTTTGGCACAGAAATCTCTTTACAAAAATTATCTCAAAACATAATTACTTTGAAAAAACTTTTAGAAATTACCATAACTTAAATCTTTTCTGATCGCTTCATGGAATTTTCATTTCTAAAGAAATAAATTGAAACTATGCCAATTGAATATTCTAGTAATACAGTGGTTTATTAATTAACAAATTGGTTGTTTAATTATTTAAGGCTCATTTTAAACTGTTCCCTGTCACTGTAATTTTCAGGCCAAATTTAATTTTCTGATTTATTACCGTGAAGATGATTAATTTTGTAATGGTAATGCTCATTTTAATGCTAAAAGATTAAGAATAAAATATTTTATGAAACAGTAGAATATACTTGATATGAAACTTTAAGTGGGTGAATGGCATTCCCTTTCCACTCAGTGGACATAGGAAGGAATGCTCATTTGGTCAGTATTAACTTGCCCCAATCCCTCCTTTGGGCAAGAAGTTGGAAGGGACCCCTCTTTACCTGGCACTGTTGTATCTCCCTCCAACCAGGGAGGAGCAGGAGGGGTTGTTTGTCTGTGCAGGTACAATCCACCTGCTACTTTTGATCTTGAATGGAGACTCTTCCCCTTATAGGCAAAACCCCTTAGAAATACATGAGCTCAATTTCTCTGTGTTTGGGTAGAATTTATACATCTGGCAAGTAGATTTTAAATGCGTCAAACAGGGTGTTAGCATTTTACACTTAAATTTAACTCACTGCAGTATCTTTGGCCTGTTCTGGTGGCATAAATTAGTAAAGCTTTTGAATTTAACTCCATCAGATTTTAAAGTCACCTGATGAATCCTCAAGGAACATAAATACTTTATATGGCAAGTGTACCCTTGAATTGCAGTCTTTGGGAATGGCTCTTCAGGCAGCTGGAATCTTTGACTCACTCTGGACTTGGGGATGAATTATCCCAGATTTCTATGTGTCTGATAGTGATGTAAAACTATTTTTCTTCATCTGTGGTCTTCTGCAAAAGGAACTGTTGCTCACACCTTCTATTATACCTGTAAGAAGAAGTACAAGACAATGAGGAATCAGACCCTGTATATTTCTAGTGCATTGTGCTGCTTAAAAGGCTTAATTTGGGGCATTAATTCAGAAATCTTATTTATTTTTTCTCAGAAATGAGTGAAACAGGTTTTCCCACTGCTTGTTAAGTGCTGGTTCAGGTTGAAGGGATGAAGTAATATATTTAAATGCAGTTTAAGCAGTTTCCTTGTCCTTTATTGTTTTTTGCTGCTCTTTCTGAGGGACTTAATAATCTCTTGATACTTTCTTTTTCTTTTTTTCCTGTTTTTTTTTTTTTTTTTTTTTTTTTTCCCCTATGAAAAACATCTTTTTAACCTGACCATATGTAGTTTTAAAATAGAGAGTGAGAATGAGAAGATCGTTTGTACTAAAGACTGCTGCAGGAAATGCCATTTAAATTCCAGGTGATTAGGAGGATGTTAAGGGGCAAAGAAATTCAAGCAGGAAACCTGATAAAAGACTTGAAAAAAATTTAAAAGGCAGTGTAGAAAGTGAGAGAAAGAGTGTATAAGAGGTGGAATTCCTATGCAGACAGGAACATTTACTGACTGAAATGACTGCTATGCAAGTGAAATGTGTGTACACATGAAAGAGCATTTAAACTGACTTTCTCAAAATTTAGCGTGCAATGTCATTGAAGATACAAAAAAACAATTCCAGAAGTTTTACATTATCTTCCTTCAGTAATTATATTGCTTCCACTTTTTCTATTTATTTTTAAATAAACAGTTCAACAGCTCCATCTTCGGGCTTAAGTTATTATTGTAAAAAAATATTATTAATCAATGTAAAATAAAAGTGCCTAAACGTCCCATAAAGTTATGTATATCTGCTCATACTTTGTCAGTTTGCAATGTTTAACTTTTCTAGATGCAGTTCTTCAGTTGTCTTTTGATAAACTTTAAATACTTTGTATATAAGTTGTTTTCAGATTTTCTCTCATTAATTTATTTGCTTTTGGTGGATTATGTTTTTCCTTTCCTATTATGATACATAAATCAACTTGACAGTTTATTAAATATTTATGGACCATATGGACAGATAATAGTGGCAGAAGGAATTTTAAAACAGGCTGTTCTTCAGGTAGGATTTATAATTTGCTATAAATCAGTATGCTTTTATTAAAATCAAAGCATATGCTGTTTTTTTGTCAATGGAGAATCTGATCATGTTATTTTGGGAGCTGAATTTTAGTGAAAAATGAGTTTTGTTTCTGCCAATGCAGCAGAATTCTAAAAGACTTAACATAAATATTCCAGTGAGAAAATTTTAATCCATTTTGTTTTTCAATATAACTCCTCCAATCCTTTTAGGAGATCTTTGGGGGAAATTAAGTTATTTGAAAAATTTTGCTCCTCAAAGTCATGGAAGAGGTACATAGTGAAGAAATACTGCGAAGTAAATTAAACTCTTTATCACAGAAATCCATCATACATGAGCCTACTTGTATGATTATCTTCTCTTGGTTTATTTTATTTTTCTCAAGCAAGGTTTTATTTCTTCTTACTTTCTGAGTATTTACAACGGCATACTCTGCTTACATTCTGAAATGATAAGTACAGGCAGTTCTTTTAATTTACCTTGATTTACTTGTCCTGATAGCTGGAGAATCTGCCTTTTTCATAACAACACTGTAGAGAAATATGATTACCATTTGTATAATAGGTGGGGTAAACCATTGATTTCCCATTATTCCTTAAATCAAGATAAGTCAAAACAAAGCTGGGACTCCACCACATCTCTCTCATTGACCCAAACAAATGCCTTAATTGATAACCAGTTTACCAGAGTATTTATTGTTGCTTTTAGTTTTTGAATATTTAACCTAAATTAGCAACATGCCCTGATCTGGTGGCACATAATTATTTAGCCCATCTCCCTAAATTGATTGCTACTGATGGTGTGTTCAGTATTTTACTGCTGTCTTTTGTATTCAACACTTTCTGTTCTTTTATTTACTTTCTTTCCCAGATTCCCCAAAATATTAGAAATCACAAGCATACCTTAACTCCCAGTAACCCAAGTTCTTTCCAAGCAGGAGGTGGAGACAAAGCACACAAAATGCTGAGGGGTCTAATAGCCATTGTTATCTTTCTGCTGGCTTCAGTTCTGTATCTCTGGAAACTCTGTAAAAGAAACTGAGATCTGACTTGTACTAGAATGCCCACCTGAAAGATACATCAGTTTTCTTTCAGAAGCCTTGTATGTCTTGCAAAGCTTTGCAGTCTTTATGAACATGTTTTTAATTTCTGTTTACAATAGAAGAAATGTAATTTAAAACAGCCATAAAATACCTTGTATTTCATTCCACGGGGAAATTAAGAAAATCACAATCATGACAGAACCCCAGTTCACTACTACATTACTTGTCAATATGCCCATTGACATCTGGACTGAGGGTATCATAATGAGGCAGCTAAATTTTACCCTCGTTTTGGACAGCGCCTATCCCCATTTTCCCCATTATGGACAAACTTAATTTAAAATGTGACAGTTCTTTTGTAAAATGTGAATATATTTAAAACTAAATCTAAACTTAAGTCCAGTTTAGAATAAGGATGCTTTTTCTGGTATTAGGCCTTTGACATTGTTTTTGTTGCCCTAATGACAGTCATTCATTGTATAAGACATTATGCATATATTAACTTAATATCCATTGAAGAACAAGTCTAATAAGGGACGTAGCTTAACCTAAAGTGTACTGCTTGATTTTTCAGATAAATTAAATAGTTGTTTTAATGTATTTGTTTTATCTTTTAACAGTTTAACCCTCAAAGAGATTTTTAAGTAGTACAGGGCAAAGATACAATTGCTTAAAAACAGTGGGATCTGTCTCATTTGCAGGTATTTTTCTTTAAACATTAAATAAAAAATTTTAGTGAAAATATTGTTTTTACCAATAAAAGGCCCTTCTTTATCATATCCCTTGTTGAATTATTTTAAATGGTTTTAAGTGGTTTAATTAATTACAATTCTGTACTGGCTTATGTATACTTAATAGGCCATCCCACAGAATGTATTTTTGTCATCAGAATTTCTTTTTTATAGTTATCTTTTTTACTCTCACTTATAATTTTTATGAAACAGAGATAATTATTTTCTGTAATTGTTATAACAATAGCAATGTTCTGTGTATTCTTCTACCTAGCTGTAGGACTCTTGCTCTGAAATATTGCTTTCTTCCACTGTAGGTATTCCGACTTCATCTTGTTATTTACACAGAACCTGAAGCTTGAAGATTATGTAATTTTCTACAACAAAAATTAAGAGTTAAGAATTAATTTATTCCTAAGCTAAATCAGTCTAACTCTAGAATATAATGTTAACATTTCCTTTTCTCAATGAAGAAAACTATTATTGGAAAATCTGAAAATTAAAGACCAGGCTGTTCTCATTGCCATATATTTATTAATGTTGCTTTTTCTCTAAATACACATTGCTGGTTTGGTTTTGGTAGTATTCTTCCCCATAGTTTTCTCCATGTGTGTTTTCCAGTAACAGCTTTATTAGTAGCATATCTAGAAGTGATGCTTCTGTTGTTTGGGGGAAAGCTAGAAGACAACATTTTGTGACATTTTTTGGTACAAATTCTTTGACATACCAATTTTTGTCCAAAAATTAAGCAATTCTGGGAAATAATTTGTTTTTAAAGGTTTCTCCTAGTAGTTTATCTTATAATATTATTTAATGTTAAATAATGACTCTGAGTGGTCTAAGGGTTCATCTTATTAGTGTACTTTTCCTCCCTCCTGATTCTGACTCATGTCTGTAAATATGGCTACTGCTTGAATGGCACAGGGTAATCTGAAAGTTAGAAGGCAAGATTAAAATGTTTTATCACAATTCTGTTTATAAACAAATTAGTATTAATAAAGAATGTTTCTATCTTCTCTGGGACAGACCATTGTGAGTAAACTAGATTTGGCTCCAATGTTCTTTTGAGATGCTGGGCAACATCTCTATTTTGAGGTTGGCTTTTTTTCACCAACATTTGGTTAAATATAATCCTGCACTTTTAAAATCCCGCAGTTTTAAAATACCTGACATAGATAGTGATCCAAAAATGAACATTTAAGGTAAATATTTTTATAATGGAGAGAATGTGAACAGATAAGAAAAATAGCAAAGTACTTTTTTTAAAAGAGTAAGATTTTATTTTGAAACCAAGAAGAATAAGGTTATACCTGGCAGATATTTTTTCAGCCATTATTTTCTATCAGATGCCCTTCTGTATCCTCTGATACATGCTTACAAAACTGTCATGAAAATTTACAGTGATGGGACAGAATTTACCATCTTGGCAGGTTATGATAATAATGACACCATAATTTTGTTACTTTTTATTATGGATATGTATTTTTTTTCCATATTGCTATACCATAAAACAAAGAGACCTTGAGGAAATAAAAAACAAAATGTGAAGTTGGAGAGATATATAATGTATAAAATTTTGCCCCAATAGAGTAGTAGCAAAGCCAGTTGGTTAGTAAATTTTGATAAAAAGTATTAAGGATCTGCAATAGAAAAGACTAATCATATTGGCAATTGCCAATAACATGTGGATTTCATATTAATTTTCATGCTTCAGGGTTAAAAACTGAAACACCACTTGTAAATGACATTTATTTCCATGATATACTGTTGTACTTTTGAAAATAAATGCTTTGTTGTTTTTTGCAGTATAAGCTACTGAAAAAAAATTATTATTAGCTGGGATGGACATACTTACTGATCTTAAGACTATAAAAAATCTGAAGTTATTTTTAAGTATTAAATGTTCTATCTTTATTTTGTTTAAACAACTTAATACTGTAATGTGAATGGAAGTTGCTTTTCATTTTTTTAATGAAAGCAAACAACCATACTTGGAGAGGAGAGAAAACTGGTGGCTTTACTGCCAGTTGCCGTAATGGAAAAGTGAAAACCTTTTCTCAGCATTAATCATTTCCTGCAATGAATACTTAAACTTTCCACTTGCAAGGAATCTGACATAGTCAATGGTAAGATAATGTTGTGGTAATTGGCTTACTTGATTAATTTTTAATTATTAGTCACATTCTCCAAATCACAAATGTTGTAGTAGCTGTAATGTTTTATACTAGTTGTAGCTTTTCAGTGGCACTAGGGTAGCCTGATACAGAGCATGGTATATTCAAGTTTAAACCTTGCTAGAACATAAGTATCTAGCATCCCGTACTTCTGAAGAGGACACATGCTTTAAAGAATGTCAGTGGGATGGAAAATAAAACAAATTGTACACACTGAAATCCTGCGTATTATGGAAGTGATTATCACTACACCAATTGTAGTTTTTAGAAACAGTTTAAAATCTAGAAGCACCTGTATGCTATAAATACTGTACAAGACATGCATGCCTGCTTTACTGTGGGAGAAGACTAAGTAAATCCTTACTTTAGTTTGTTTCCTATCTCATTATCTCCAAATTAAACAATAAACAGCTTGCCATTTAGTGAGCTACAACACTAAAGCTTTTTTAAGCAAATACATTGTGCACGGGTAAAATGCAATTAGTAATAGAATGGAAACAGCAAGCTTTCAAGTCTTGAGTATCCTTGACCAATATACTGCAACTTCATTCTCTCAAAGTGTGTGTTGGACACCGAGACAGAACACTTCAGAAGCCTGTGCTTGTGAAAACCTACTAAGTGACATAATCCATTCAGGAGGATGCTACAGTGCGCTGTGGTTCTTGTTTACACAACCAGATAAGTCTAGAACTAGAAAGAATTATCTTAATTTTATTTTCTGGAGAAAAAAAACCCGCTGTCTATTTAGTATTTAATTTTGATGGCATAGATAACAGAATCAGCTCCCAAACTAGAACTCCATTCAAGATTATTGTTGAACCACTGTCTTGAAATTTATATAGCTCACTGTTAGCATCAAGTATTTATCAATGGTATTCTAAGTTTATGTCAATCTGAATCAGAACAGTCCACATATTTTATGTCTGAGAAATCATCTGTGAAACTTAGAACTGATTGATCCAGTATTCTAGTGGAATGAGCCACGTGGTGGTCTTTCTTCAGATAAGAAATTAATTTCTTCCATGTTGCTCTGAACCCTCTCCCCTTCTCCCCTCAAAGAAGCTTGAAGAGTTCTAAAGGTGAGAATGTAAATGGAGATGTAACACAGGACACATTGTGAGTATTTCTAGGTGTATCATATAAATTAACTTAAACTGTTCAGAAAGAAAGGGGTGGGACAACCAAACTGAAACACATCTGCAGGTCTCTGTAGAGAATGGTGCCATCTCTAAAGAATGCTAGATGGCGCAGGGCATGTTGGATGCAACACAGGCTGAGGATGACATTCTTTGCAGCTCTGAGAGACAGCTGAGAACAGTCTGCAAAGAGATAATAGGATGATGAGCAGTGTGATCTAGCCCAACTGCCTGCTCAGTGACAGGCCACTTTCAGATACGAAGTTGCTCAGGGCCTTGACCACCTGAGTTTAGGGAATCTCTATCCTTGAACATTTTCTATCTTTTCTGTGCAACCCATTCCTACAGTTTTCTTATTTTCAGTCATAATTTCCCTTGTTGCAGCTTGTCATCATTGTTGCTTGTCCTTTGTGGTGCACCTCTTAAAAAGTATGTGTTATTCTTCCCTGTATCTTGCCTTGGATAGTGAAGGACTGCAGTTTCCTCCTTAGACTTGTCTAGCATAAAAATCCCAGCTTTCTTTGCCTTTTGCCCTATGCTCCAACACCCTAATCATCTCAGAAACCTTCTTGTTGACTTGCTCCAGTTTGTTAGTATGTGTCTTGTACCGGGGAGTCAAAACTGGGCACAGTGTTCCAGAGTGCCCAAATGAGTGCCGAGTAGGGCGAGAATAATCACTTCATTTGACCTGATGGGTATACTGTTGCTAATGCAGCCCCGGATACAGTTAAACTTCACTGCTGTAAAAGTGTGCTTCTGACCTATATTCGGTTGAAAGTCCACCAGGACTCCCAGGGATTTTTTCTGCAGGGTTGCTTCCAAGTCATCTGGTGCCCAGCAGCATACATTGTTGCTCTTACTCTGTCCCAGGTGCAGGACTTTGCATTTGGCACTGTTGAACTTCATGAGGCTTCTGGCAGACTGTCTCTCTAGCCATTCAAGGTCGCACTTAATGGCAGCAATGTCCTGTAGCGTATCAGCCCCCCTGCCAATTTGATGTCTTTTGCATACTGAACAAGAAGGCCTGTGGTATAGGTCACTGGTAAAGATGTTAAGCAGTTCTGATGCTTTTATCAGTCCTGAGGAAAGCCTTTCCTAACTGGCTGCTAGGTAGAACAATCTTCAAAATGATGATGCAGACAGTTTTTCATCCACCTTTCATCCACTCATCTAGTCCGTATGTCCATAGTTGGGCTATAAGGATGTGATGAAGGACTATATTGAAATCCTTTCTAAAGGCTTTCAGTGTATATGACATCTGTTGCTTTCCCTTCATCCTCAGAGGATGTCATTTAGTTCCAGAAGACACTAAGGCTGGTCAGCCATGATTTGCCGATGGCAAATTAATGCTGCCTGTTCTCAATCACTGTCTTGTCATTCAGGCATTTGAAAATTACTTCCAGCTGTTTTGTCTTCTTCCTTGCCTACTTTTATGATGGAAGTATTTTTTTGGACTGGTCATTGGGAACCTCATTACCATGAAAATAGACAACAGTCATTAATTAGCTCACTCAGCATCCTCAGATATATCTCATTCTGGTCTGTAAACCTGTACATGTCCAGCTCACTTAAGTAAGGGTCTAACACCACACCTCTCTCTCCCTGTAGCATCTCCTCTAAACACTAGTAGAGCTTGGGGCAGGGCTGGAAAGCAGCCCTTAGTAGGAATGAGTGAAACAAAGGTGGCATTGCATACCTCAGTGTTTTCCATCTCATTTGTCACTAGGTCATTCAGCCTGGGGCCAACATTTTTATTGCCCTTCCTCAATTGTATATTTCTGTTGGCTCTTCACATCCTTTGCCATTTTCAACTTCTGGTTATTCTGCTCATGGAGAATTTAAACATTCTTTTTTTTTTCAGAAATATGCCTCTAGTGAAATAATTGTCCTAATCTGCTGTTATGGCATGAAAACCCCACATCATTGTTTCTGCACGGAGTATGTTGTGCTACTTGTACATAGGTTATTTTTCTTACATTGCTTAAAGATCACGACTGGCTCATCACCAGTATCTTTCCAAGTCTGAGCAGTGAACTTGAGTTATATTTTCTGTTTCCTTTCATGTATGTCTCATTTACCCTTTAGTGTAATTTCATTTTCAAGAAGAACAGTAAGCATTGTGATGATTTATAAAATTGTTTAATCTCTTATTTTAGTTTACGATGTAGGTTATGAGCCATTCATCTTTTTACAATGGTAATGTTTCCAATTCCTATTGGCTTTCCTCTTAGGCTATACTAGTATCTATCAAAACTCCATCCTTGATCTTATATTTTCCTGTTGCACAATCTGAAATACCTTTTACACCATAGTGATTCTTCATTCTTAATTCTCTATATGCCAACCTTCATAGTAGAGCATTTCACATTTATATGATATCTAACACTACCCTGTGTTTTTGCTCTGAATCTGATAACAGACTTTGCCCTCAGAATTTTTAGCATTTGCCTCAAAACGGTATAGGTGGTTTTGTTTGTACTTAAGCATGTGGGCTGGGTCATTTTACATGAAACAGCTAGTCTCCTTTGGGATGGATATATATGGTTATCTGAGTGTCTTGCATTGTATTTTGATATATTTGATATTTTGATGCCCAGTCTGTGATACATGACAGACACAGTATCAGGTATATTGTCATGTGTTTAAGCACTGAGCTTAATCTGATCAGATGGAAGACAACCTCGTGGTTCACAATTAACAAAAACTGCTCCTTTGACTCCTCTGGCTTCTGTTTACTCAAACTGAAGTTTCAACATTGTACCACAGAAAATGTTGGAGACCTCAAGACTTCTTCCAGTTGATAAGTGTAAATCTCTTCAGGCAGATTGCTTCAGTAGTATCCCAAGTTGCTATGCCAACCTTGGTTCACTATCAAAAATGCTATGGTGGCAGGGGTTCTTGGCTTTGTGGCAAGTTCAGGTATATTAGAATCATCAGTGGTCAGGCAAAAAACATTTCAGTAAGAGAAGAAAACTTGCCTTCCTGACATAACTTTTTATAGAGATGAGAGAGGTTTTAGAAAAATTATTTTTAAAAAGTGGTAATGAGAGGACTTCATCTTCAGCCACCACAATTTTGGGTAAATACCACAAAGATACTCCTTAGTTTCCTAGTGCTGTTTTCACTTTTTTTTTTTTTTTTTTTTTTTTTGACTCAAAGAAAGTATAAACAGACAGAAAGCTATTTAAGTTTGTATCTCATGAAATGTTTGCTATGTAAAAGAAATTGATCACTTGGCCTCCTTTTAGAATGTATATAATCCTAAATGGTAAAAATTACCTGACTGGTTAGTCTCTAATATCTATCATAGCGAATCTCCGTAAGAGTGGGAAATTAGGATTCATGAACCTTGCCTGATACATTATTTTATACTCTTTCAGTGTGGTTCTAGGAAATAAAATCCTTTCAGTGGAAATGAAGAATTGTGAATTGAGTTTTAGGAAAGACTAACAAAATACTGCTTCTTGGAATGCTTCAAAATAAATGTAAGTATTTAAGCATCTGTAGGAGAAGAGCCTATCTTCCATTGTACTCTCTGTCATAGAAAAACCATATTCTCTTGAAGACACACCAGCCCTTGATACACACCCTAAGAAGGTGGTTTGTGCCCCAAAAGTCTGTCTAGCTATGCACATCAAACATCATGACTACAGTAAAAGCTCACAAACAGCAGTAAACACTTGTTTCTGTAGCCATTAAAAGCAGTTGTTTTTTGAAGAAGCAGCTTTGTTCACAGATAGTTCCAGTCCACTTATGTGCAGCTGAAAGAGTAATGAAAAATTAAATACTGCACAAAATGTAATTTAAAATCATTACAACTTCAAAATTAGCAAGTAATTTTTCTTCACTTAGCATAGTGGCTCTTTTATACTAAGATCTGGAATTTGTACTTTGAAGTTTTTAAACAGCTGTTGTGCTGGTTGAGAATAAGAGGTTTTCAAAATATACTTTTAAGTGGAGGAAAAAAACTTCAAAATAATTGCTTCTTATGTTCTGGATCTTAAAGTTTTACTGCATAACACAGCATTTTTGATAGTGTTCTGAACAGCTAAATAGAACAGAAAAGAGCATTTCAATCTTTATTTCCAAATGCAAACATTGAAATAAGCCTGTTCTAGTTTGCTGAAAATGAACCTTGGAATTTGAATTTACAGGAAAGTTACTGCTTTTCATGCACACTGCCACCTAACATATGCATGGAAAAAATATTTGTGTTGGAAGATTGTAACTATCCTTTCATAGGACTGAAAAAAGTACGCACTATAGTTTTGTAAAACAAAGCAACTGACATTAAATACCTGCACTCAACCTCTCAACTACAAGTTAAACCCCAGATATTCTAAAGCCTACTATTGGTATACCAAACAACTCTATGGAGAGGGAAGGAAAGAGAATCAGAAGAAATACGAAGCTGCTTTTAGTAGACGGGTATATCTGTATACTCATGCTATCCTTATAACTGATCCATAATTTATGTGTTTCCTGTGAGACTGTCAGAGTCCTGTCTAGACTACATAAGAGAGTATCTTTAATTCCTAAGAAGCTTTTCAGGTGAACTCATGTTTATTATATAACGTGTTAGCTTTTGTTTCTGTACGTGTCTAATTATTCACTGAATTTACTTATTTGGATATCTTTAGATATCTCATATTTATATTTGAACATGCTCGGTAGTTTAATCTGAAGATTAGAATTTGAGTTCTGGATTGATAGCTGTTTCTAAATGTCTGAAAAATCCTGTTTCTGAAAAGCTGACTGGCATAATTCTGCTGTCCTTTAATTTTGTTCTTAATATATAATTTTAAAATACAGAAATTGGTCTACTGTAAAACTGGTCTGGATAAGAGATGGGGTGGAAGGAAGG